TTAGGGAGGGTAATATAATAAAAGAAGGCAAAGATCAGGACTAATGTTAAAATAGGAAAGATCGTGCGTGTGCTGCCTTAATTTAACTTGCAATTCCTGGTCACATTCAAATTGTGCAATAATTGTTACGCATCTTGACCGTAACTCCATTAAAGCTAAAAAAAGGTTAAATATAATCTCAAAGGTTTCATAAACCACATGGAAGAAAAAATGTGTTATTTTTCCCCAAAGCTAACATTTACGGTTCTAAGAAACTTTCATAGATAACCTCGCGCCATGTGGTTTTGATTAATGACCAGTAAGCAGACATGAAATCATAACACCCACGTGGCTGGTTACGCACTTTGTTCCGTAGTTTATCATCGCATCCGGTTAACCATAGTAGATGTTTACCGTTCCAGCTCATACATAGTAACGTGTCATATATATGCTGGGGCACATTCCACAAATCGTCTAATGTTTTGTTGAAAGTATGATGAACAGGAGGAAGGGATAGGGAGGGAATTCGTCGGCTAGCAATCCACTTTTCATCGATTTATTTAGGTCCTTGCTCGAGTGGATGATGTTTCCGTTGCATTCCGAGAACTGGGAATACCTGTTGGCAATGACACGCACATTGGAATTTACAGCAAAAATCGGCCGGAGGTAGTTTTTTCTCGTCTTTCCTTTAAGTAAATGCTCATGCTTTTATAGTCATTGCATAGTGTAAATGACCACAAATAAAGTGCTGCGGTTCAAAAATTATTCTTTAAAAAAATCAAATTTGCTAGTGAGCTGCAAAATTCTGGCAGCATCATCATACATCAATTCAGTTAGTAAATAAGAGGGAAAGGTTTGACAGCTCTAATTAAATTGATGGGGAGGCAAAAGTTTCACTCACACATCTGGATGATCAAAGTTATAAGGATTTCTACGGACTACCATACATATAATTTGCCTCCAAGTTTAGTACCTATGTTGTTGAAAAGTCATGTCGAAGTGATTATTTTCAAACGGAAGATCCATCTTTGTACCTCATTCGGTAATATACACGCATTAATAAGTGCAGATTTTAGTTTGAATGGTTGTATGCATGTTTGCGATCTTTGAAACTTGCTGAATTTTGACCTCTCCGTTATCTTTTTATTAAAATGATGTATATTTTAAATCAGAATATCAGTAGATTTTTTTCAAGGTTTTCTCATATGAATACTTTACTTGATGAACAGTTTTTCTGCTCATTAATCAATAATTTGTCATCTGTT